TCTCTCTCTCTCTCTCTCTCTCTCTCTCTCCATCTAGCTAACTACGCCTCTTCTCACGAAGAAGAAGATCAAGAACAACCTACAAAACCCACAGCTTTGCCCCCAAAACCCAGTTCTTCCTCTTTCTCTCTATTTTCTTCTCTACCCAAATCCAGACCCCAACTTCGTCTCTCTTCGAATCCCCTCTGCAACCTTAACAATCCCAAACAAAACCATCTTTTCTGAATATGACAGCATGTCTTGGCATTAGGTGGCCATTGTTTGAGCATTTTTGTCCAATTTTGGGAGGCTTTGAAGTCAGGGTTTACATGCCCTCTTTAAGAACAGCTTCTTCAGAAAATGAATTGTTGGGAATATGTAAGTTTTGATGTTAAATTGAATTTGATTACTGAAATTGGAATTGTGATTTATTTCGTCTATATTTTGTGTAGAAAATGAAGTATTGGGATTGATTTTGTTTGTCTGAAACAACAAATGTGTTTGTTATTTGTCAATTGATTCTTGCAATTGGTATTGGGATTTTCTATGAACTTGTTATGATTATATCATAGTGAGGTAGCATTGTTGATTTGCTATTGCAATCGTATTGTGATTTTTTGCAGTTGTATTATAGTGGTATTGCTTTTGTACTGCTATGGTATTGCTGTTATATTGATTATTTTTGGTGTTTTATTGATATGTTACTGTAATTTAATAGGAATATATGTTGATATCATTTTTCTTTATCTGCTTGTGATTTGTGTAGGAGTTGAGATTATTCTTGGCTGAAGTATTATTTACGATATCTCTCTCTCTCTCTGCTCTTCATATTTTTCTCAATATTTATATGTTAATTTAATGCCTGGTATTGTTTTGGAACCATAATCATTGTCAATCTCATTGTTTCTTTAAAAGATTGCTGTGAAATTGTTACTCCATTTTCTTCTTTCCTTTGTTTTAAGATATTTTTGTTTGGAGAAAAAGAACTCTGTTTTTGTTATCTAAAAGACTAGGTATCTATGTCCCACATCTTGGGACTAATTGAATGTGCTTTTTGATATTGAAAGGAAGCTAGCATCTTTGGTTGAAAAAATGAAGGTGTTACTACTGAAGTAATTTATACTTGATTTCAATTTGCCTATAAAACTTGTTGATTGGTGCTCAACAAGTTGGGTTTTTGTAGCTTGAGTTACCGTATAATTTAGGATCGCTTTTTGCATGTGTGTGTTTTAATGGATTGGATCTTCTAATCATGTTTCTGAGATGAGTTGTGCAGTAGCGTTGGTTGAAATTAATATGTTATTTATTCATTGAAAGCATATTGTTTCCCGACGGTGAGTACTTGAGCAAATTATAATTTGTTGTAGTTTTGTCTTGACAATTT